TCCAGCTGGGCGGCCGCCTGCGCAGCGCCGCCCGTGCTGCGCGCGGTGCTGAGCGCCATGCTCCCAGCGGCTCGGGAGGCAGGCGCAGGTGGGGAAATCGAGGCCGGAGCGGTGCAGGGCCTGCCGGCTCTCGCTTGCTGCGGGGACGAGGGCCCTTCTCCTTCCCAGGAGCCCCCTGGAGTTGGGGGCGGCGGGCAGCGCCGCCGGGGCGGGAGGGCGCAGCGGGGCCCGCCGCTCGGGGCTCTCTCCTGGGGGCTGGGCTGTGGGTCGGGGCTGGCCTCGGCCGTGCGCACTGGGGCGCCCCCGTCCGGTGTGGATGGAAGAAGGGGGTAAGGCCAGGCGGCGGGCCTTGCGTGCGCCCCGCATTCGGGAGCCCCTTTTCAGAGTTGCCCAGACATCCTGCAGCCAGCGCCGCGAGTGCGTCCTGACTCGCGGTGGGCCGGCGGGACAGTCACTCCCGAGGGTCTCCCAGGCGGTCCTTGTAGCAGCTGGTGGGCGTGAACCGCCAGGCTGTCACTTTCTACTCCCCAGTGAAATTCTCTTTGTAGAGTTGGCGCCTTGGTTCTAGCCGGGGTCTTCACTCTGTAGGACCAGCGAGTCTGTCTGTCAGGGCGCAGGAGGAAACGCTGTGCTTGGCACGGGGCAGGAAAAGATGGACAGCGGTTGGTCAGGATTTAGTTTAAGGAGCACTCGGCTCTTTCTGGGGGACTCTGTGGAATGAGTCATGATCGCTTTTCTCAAAGATCAGCACAGGGCCGGTCCCCATGAAGCGGAGGTTAAAGATGTCCCAGATGTCCGAAGCACCGTGCCACCCCATCATTTCAGACATTAACTCCTCCTCCTCCCAGTAATCTCCCCCGTCTTAGGGTCCTGTATTTCGCTGTAACACCTCACAGAACTCACAGACACCCAAGGGATCGTCTCACGTAGCAGTGGTGGAGGCTGGCGAGTCCCAGGCCCGTGAGTGGGTCTGGAGGAGCCTCCCAGTTCTCGGGGTTGGATGAACCTCGATCAGCAGATCAGATGACAGCTGCTGTCCCAAATCCAGGGCTGAGATGAGGATGAGCCAAGACTCAAAACTAGAGCAAGAGGAGGGCGAACCTTCCCAGGAGATTCGTAGGTACACCCTCCAGGAAGCTGAGGGCAGTGTTTGAGTCATACTCTCCACCAAGGCAGGACCCGAGGTACATCCCACCTGTGCTGCGCCAGCAGAAACACCCCGAGTGGAGGCTTTAACAATCTGCAGCTCAGGGCAGATCCCACCACAGAGCCGATTGCCAGTCATTATGGGGAGCGACTACTGCCAGCTGCCCAGCCCAGTGGACACCCGACCTTAGCTACCACACCACCCCAAACGGGCGTGGATAATGGGATTTACAACACATCACAGAATGGGGGACAATGGCTGGAAGGGCCACATCAAGCAATTCACTGCACTCACCTGTGTGACAAGTTGCTGATGTTGATGTGACAGGAAAGCCAGGTGTGTCCAAGGATAAACTTGGATTCAGTGTTACGGTAACTACTTGCCAGGAGTGCTTTTAAATGTTTAGACTTGCAAAAATCTGTATAAGATGAGATTTGACCATTGAATGTCTGACATGGACAGTCACGTTGATTACATGAGTCACCTGTGTGACCGTCACCCGTGTCTGTTGTCAAGTTTTCCATAACCATTAACATACAGTCAGCACTTCCACAGAGAGCTTCTTGGGGTCTCTGGCATTAGTAGGTCTGTGCCTGTCCGAAAGGTTGGTGGTTTGAACCTCCCTACCCATCGGCCCAGAGAGACAGATGAGGCAGTCTGCTTCCGTTGAGATTGACAGCGTTGAAAACCCCAGGGCCGTTCTCTGTCCTGCAGGGTTGCTGTGAGTCGGAGTTGTATGGATGGCAGTAGTTTGGTGGTTTAGGGTTTTGGTCAGAGGCGGGCCAAAGACTGTTCTGGTTTCGGATCGAGGCCTTCTGGTGTGTGCCAGGTGGGAGCTCCCCGTTTCACACCTAGGCCGAGGGGGCTCCCTGCCGCACTCGGGCAGGTGTGCTCTGGTTGCCTTGTTTTTCCAGCCCCGTCAGTGTGATCACACTGCGGTTGCGGGGGGCCCCTGGGCGGCCGGCCCGTCGGCCACGTGTCGCTGGGGGTCTAGCTGTGTATGTTTTTAGAAACCTCACTGAGCTGTGTGCCCTCCCCCACAGCAGTCTTCACATCTGGCCTGAGGTTGGCATCCACACGCCCGGGGCCAGGCACACGGTGGGCCTGGGAGTGAATGGAGAGACACGTCAGCCTGTACGTGTACGCACCCTGGGTGGGTGTTTGAACCCGCCTGCTGAGTGGGGCCGGGGAGAAGCAGGGGGACTGGTGTGACGTTTAGCCTAAGGCTCTGACGGTGCAGGTCTCTGTAACCATCCTGATGGTGTAGAGCAGGGAACCAGGAGAAGCCGGCGGGCCTCCTGCGTGGTCCACAGCTGCTGGGACACGGGGCACCGCTTAATAGGGCAGCCAAGACGCCAGGCTGTTCATCAGGGTGTTGCAGGTCATTGAAAGCATCCTGCCGTCACTCAGGTTTTAGTCTGCTCTGTGGCCCTCCAGGTGCGCAGGACGAGGCAGCGGGGAGTCTCATTACCGAGCACAGGGCTGAGCCACCAGGTCCTGCAGGCGTGGAGCCCTCGCCTTCCTTAGCAAGGGGGGTGAGGGCAGGTCGGCGGCCGGCGTGTGGCACCGCCCCCCGGGGGTGCAGAGGGTGTGGGCTTGAGCCGGCCTGCTGTGCCTCTTCCTCTCCCTCCAGCTTGTTGGGGCGGGCGGTGGACCCCCCACGGGCCCCGGGGGGCGGACTGCATGGTCGCCTTGCCCTTTTTGGTTTTTTCCAAACCAGGATCACCTGGCAGTCTCGCCCTGGGGGGGACTTCCGGAGGTGAACAGCTGAGGTGTGGTGGGGACCCCTTGAGCGTGGTGGGTGTTGGTGAAGCTGCCTGCAGGCCCATGGCCCCTGCCGAGGGGGCTCCACTGCACACACCCAGGCCCACGAGGCGCCCCAGGTGGATGCGGGTCCCAGGGCGCCGCTCCTCCGGACGGCACGGGGACTCCAGCAGGATGTCGGCGTGGGTGGGGCCTTCCGGAGAGCTGGGGTGCAGCACTGTGCCCCGGCTGGTGACTCTGGCACAGGCCTGGCCTGGAGCTGGTACAATGCAGTGTGTTCTCGGAGCTGCCAGGAGGGTCTCTGGGGGGCTCCTCGGCTGGACTGGGGCAGCCCGGCCCTCCCCATGCGGTGGAACAGCACAGAACGGGCTGCGGTTCTGGAGTCAGGCCCCGGGGCGTTCTTGCCCGTCCCCGGTGCCACCCGGTGCCCGCTCGGCCTGGCCCATTTTGCTTGCCCGTGTGCCTGCCCCTGGAGGCCTCATGGTGCTCTTCTGTTTCAGCCGTGGGCAGTTACTCTGAGAACGGGCGTCCCTGGGTGTCCCCCTGCCGGGGGGGACTGCAGTGGTGCTGTGCTGGCCTCCCCCAGTCTCGTGGGTGGGTCCGTGCCGCACCCTGAGACGGGGCCCTGCAGGGGTGCATCCGGGTGTTGCTGCAGCCCGCTCGGTCCAGGCACAGTATTGGCACCCAGGCCGTGGGCCCGGCTTTTCGTCCTCTGCTCCTCCGGACTCGCCATCCAGCCCGGGCCAAGGCGTTTCCCGCTCCAGGCTTGGGGGTGTTTTGCTAAAGCTGAAATCATTACAGAAGATAGAATCTGGTTGCGTCTTCAGCCCGACCCCCTCAGAAGCATCTCTGGGACATTTTTGGAAGAGACGCGTGCTGCGGGCTCGGGCTCGGGGCCGTGTTCCCGGGTCTCTGCAGTAGCCCTCTGTCGGACTCCTCCTGCAGACTCAGTTCCGGAGCTTGCTACAGTGGGTCCCATTCCAGCCTCTCAACACTGTCATCCCATCTGCCCCGCGCGGCCGCCACTGAGAGGCAGAGTGCCGGGCCCTGTGTGCGTCACCCGGGAGTGACAGGAAGGAACGTGCACTCCCGAGTGTGTGGGAGTTGGCAGGTCACGCCTGTGAGCACCTGTCTGACTACAGTGTGAACTAGTCAGGAGCGTAGAGGTTCAGAAGAATCGGGCACGGTGGGCACTGGAGCCCAGCGGGCCTTCCGTCCGTGCACGCAGCCCTGCGCAGAGCCCCTGCAGACCTCCACTGGAAACCGTCCTGCTGCGTGTGACCCAGGCTGTCTGTCTGCTCCAGGGCGGTGCTGGTGAGAGGCCCACTGTGGTCCTGGCTGCTGACCCAGGGGATCAGGGAATATCGCTGGGCTATGGGTGGCAGGCTGAGAGCTTGGTGACGAGTCCTGCACGCAGGGATGTTGGTGGAGGAGGGCTTTCTCTGGCAGCGAGTGAGAGGCCACCCGGTGACCAGCCCGGCGTCTCAGCTCCTGTGCGACAGCCCAGTAACCAGCTGCCTCCTGGCCCTGCCTGAAGCTGCTGCCGCTGCAGCCCCAGCGTGTCCCAGCACGTGGTGACCCGTGTGTGGTACGTGTGAGGTGCTGACGCTCAGGCTTAGCCTCGTGAGAGCTCAGTGCACAGGTGGGCGTGGTCCGCCCATCCCGGCCGCGGTGCTGATGCCTGCGTCTGCTCAGAAGAGCGTCGGCACCGGGTGTTCCGGGAGCCTGCGTCCACACAGGAGGGCCGAGCTGACCAAGCAGGGCGGTGTCCGCTGCGGAGCTGTGCACGGCTGTGAGGACCTGGCTGCACCAGGACGCGCTGTCTGGGTCCTCCGGTCCTGCTGTAACAGATACCACAGGGGGTGACTTCAAGAGACAAGTTCATGTTCCCCCAGTTCAGGAGGCTGCAGGGCTGAAGTGGGGGTGCTGGCTCTGGGAGAAGCCTTTCAGTCTGTGGATCTGGAGGAAGGGCCCCGTCTCTCTGAGCTTCTGCTCCCGGGGCTCCTCACCTGCCTGGGCATCTCTCCCCGCCCCCCGTCTCTGCTCCAGTCCTTCACTTAATCTTTCGTGTCTCAGAAGAGGTGGACTCAGGACACAGCCTGAACTCATTCTGCTCCATTCAATGCAGAACATAGACCACCCCTCCCTGGACGGGGTATCACCACGGGGATGGAGGTTGGGATTTACAGCACAGATTTTTGGGGGGCACAGCTCAATTCATAACCTTCTACCTTCTGCCCCCCCCAAAATCCATGTCCTTGCCACATGCAAATCAGTTCCCACTCCACATCACCCCCAAGGTCTCCACTCCACTTCAGGTCCACATTCTCGTCTGAAGCCCCTGAGTCAGCTATGGGGAGACTTGAGGTGCCCTGCGTCCGGGCAACACTCCTTCCACCTGTGAAACCTACACTACAGGTTGCCTGCTCCCAGAGGCCAGTGATGGGGCAGGCACAGGTAGACGGTACTGTCACCAAGGGGAGAAATTGGAGGGACAGGCTGGTCCAGACCCCATTGACAGCAGCTCTTGGGGCTTGACCAAAATCCTCTCTTGTCTGAGACATCTGGAAGTGACCCGCCCTCCAGACTCTGGGTGTGGCCCATGCCTTCTGACTCTGGGTGGAGGCCCTGGGCTTCAGCCCCGCCTTCCAGGCCCTCTGGGATGGTAACTAGCTCCCCCAGCTTTGGGTGTCCCCATTCTCCTGGTCCAGCTGCATGGCCCCCAAGCAGGCCTCGTTCTTCTGCCTCTTGGGCATGACAAGCCTGCCCCCTCAGTTTTGGGTGGCACCCATCCCCTGCCATTAATGGCGCCCCACACTTCAGGACCAAGTTGGTGAAGAACTAACCCTGACACCTAGGCCGCTGTGGTCCCCACCCTTTGAAATCAAGAAGGCCCTGCTTCTGTGTTCCTTGCAGCAGTTCTGACCAAGCAGCTGCTGTGAGAATGGTCCCGTCCTTTTCGTGGACACCAGCAGGCGCCTTTGCCTGTGTCCCATGGATTCCAGGGAGCACACGGTGTTCTGCCCTTTACTCTCTCTCTCCCCCCTTTGCTCCGGCTGATGGGTGTTCTGCCGCGGCTGGCTTAGCGCCATCAGTCACAGGGCTGACAGCGTGCACCCGTCGGGAGAGGAGCTGTGCACCTGTTTGAAATGGAAGAAATGGACCTGGGCCCAAATGACTGTTTCCACAGGGTATAGTGTCAGGTGATGCGTCCTGGCGGTGGAAGTTTGCAAAACTTTTGTGTCTTTTGGCTTTTTTACTGGGAAAGAAGCCTTGTGAGTAGATTTCTGGATTCTTCCATGTTATTTGGGAGTTACCTTTCTTGTGGTGAGTCCATGTTCTGCAAATACCACATTTTCAAGCCCCCCAAAAAAAACAACAACAACTCACTGCCATTGAGTTGCCTCTGACCCATAGCGACCCCTCTTCGGGTCTCTGAGGCAGTATCACCACGGAAGTAGATTGCCCAACCTTCCTTCCGAGGAGTGGCTGGGGGGCTTGAACTATCAGCCTTATAGTTAGCAGTCCGATGCCTTAGGCACTACACCACCAGAGCACCATAATTGGGTGGTGAAGGGGTTATTAATCTCTGGTAGCATAGTGCCTAAGGCACTTGACTGCTAACCAGAAGGCTGGCGGTTCAAACCCACCAGCCACTCCTCGGAAGGAAGGTTGGGCATTCCTACTTCCGTAGTGATACTGCCTTGGAAACCCAAGGAGGGGTCGCTATGAGTCAGGGCCAACTCGATGGCAAGTAACAACAGCAACAATGTATTTCAAGACACATTCTCCCCTAATCCTGCCCCGTTAAGGTAACAGACACCTTGGTCGCAAATGGGATTGTAACCACGTAGACCAAAAAACCAAACTCAACCATGAGTCGATTCTAACTCATAGCGGCCCCCGTAGGTTTCCGAGGTGGTAAATCTTTATGGAAGTAGAGTGCCCTGTCTTTCCACAGAGCGGGTGGTGGGTTTGAACTGCCAGCCTTCTGGTTAGCGGTCAGTTGCCTTAGGCACTGCGCCACCAGAGCTCCTCAGCCACAGGTATAGAGGTTGGAATTTATAGCACTTAGATTTGGGGGCACAGCCCATAGCAGACTGTCCCCAGGCCACCTGTGAGCTCCCTTTGCGGTGCAGGGTGGGGCCTGGGCTGTGCTGTGTGTGACGGGCTGCGCTGCCCTCGGAGTGCCCTCCATGTGGGAGGGTGTTGGCACCTGCACTGTCCGCCCTGCCCTGGTGCCATGGGCTCACTGGCCCTTGTGGACGGCACACATGGGCCCACACACGTGCCCCATGAGGAACTGCCTCTGTGGCTTTGGAGCCTGCGCCGTGGCCCCGTGCTATCCCTGGGGTCTCAGAGGCCAGCTGTTTCTAGCTGTCTGCTGACCAGCCTTCTTTCCTCACGCCTCCGTCTTCCTGTCCGTCTCCGTGGAGGAAAGAATGGAGCGTGCACATCACACGACCTGTGTTTATTTTCCATGTTTTGCCAGTTGAGCCTGATGTCCCCCCTGCACCCATGGTCCTGAGTCCGCAGGCCCAGCGACTCACTCCCTCATGGTGCTCAGTTATGGCTGGGAAGTCATCCTGACTTTGTCCGGTTAGCTTTGTGCTGCAAGTGGGTATTCTTGGGGCACGGACGAGTATGTCCGTAGGAGTAGCGTCTGCCGCACCTGCATGTGTGTGTGCGTTCGCCTGCCCACGGCTTACCTTGCCTGTCAGGAACCAGGTGCGCGTGTTGCATTGGATCTTTGGACTCCCTGGAGATAAGGGACCTGCTGCTTTCGTCTAAAGTTCCCTCTGCAGATCTCCCCAGAGGAAGAGGCGGTCCATCTGGCCGTGGATGGTCGGTCGGGTGCTGTGGGCTAAGCGGTGTCCTCATTTCCACGTGCTGGTGCCTGGTGGGAGACCACTGGCCCAGAGGCCCGGGCGTGAGGGCTGCCTGCCCGTGTCTGCCACCGACACTGTTCTGGTTTAATCCCCGCTTTAATTTCTTAGAGAAAAACAGATGAGTTGCTGGTGTGGCTGGAGAGGTCAGGCACTGCGTCGTTCATGTGGTGACCCGCTTCTCTCGTGTCCTGAAGTATGTTTGTGCCGTTTCTTTCCCCAGTGTGCCCACGGGAACCTGGAAGACCCCAAAAGTGTAACGCATCATAAGTTAATCCACGCTGCGTCAGAGAGGGTGCTGAGCGACACCAAAACCCTCTCAGAAGAGAACATCCAAGATAGAGGTAAGGACGCCCCACAGCACGGCCATTGACACGACGTGACATGGCGCCACCGTGGGGCCCGCTCCCCTGAGGGGCGCTCACGAGGAGAACCCCCTCCTGTGAGTGAGTGTCCGAGCCGGGGTGAGCTCACAAAGCGAGTGCGCTGACATAACTGAGTTCCGAGTGGATCTGAGCGAGAAGCCAGACCAGCTGAGGGTGTTCGCTCTCCTCTTACTAAAGGAAAAGTTCGTGTCACGGGGTGTTTATGAGAGAGAAACCCTCACGGGGCCGGCCCCTCCCCGTCGGAGAAGCTACGCGCCGGCTTCACCTTTCCACCGGTTCCCAGCAGAGGCTCTGGGGGCTTCCCTCTCGGGTGGTGGTCGTGCCTGTGGGCCGGACAGCTGTCCCAGCACACAGCCCTTGCCGCTTACAGCCGGACGCTGCAGACACTCGGGGAGAAACCTGTGTGTTCTGTGTCTTGTTCAGGGGATGGTTTTGGTCTGGGACCCTTTTTTTTTTTTTTTAATTGTGATTTGGGTGGAAGTTTACAGAGCAAATTTACTTTCCATACAGTAGTTCACATACACTTTGTCTCATGACATTGACTACAATTCACCCCAATGCCACAGCTCCCCTCCCACTTCCTCCTGATAGTTACCTCTTCCCTGCACCCATCTCTCCATGCATTCCTGCCCCCTGAGCTGTCTTCCGGTGCAGACACAGCCCTTCTTTCTCCCATGATTGTTCTCTCCAAGGAGTGTATCTACCTCCGGTACATGTTCAGCTCATATGCCTGTCTTTTGTTTGGCTGGAAGCCACAGGTGTGGGTTCAATTCCAGACCTGAATGGCAGCTAGGGGCCATAGTCTCAGTGGTTAGTTCTGGGACCCTTGAAACGGTCTGCCTTGAAGCTGCAGGAAGGTGTGTTTACAGACCTCCCTTGGGTGTTGTCCTCGGGCGCTGAGCTGGCAGGGAGTGATGGCTGCCGGTACTGTGGGGCTACATGGAGGGACCCGCGCCTTCCGTGTGGGAAGCCCGGCTTGGCTCCCAGCCCACGCTGCACCTGCCAGTGGGGGCTGCCATGGCTGTGACTCTGGACAGGCTCCGCAGGCCCCTAGACTAAGAGAGACTAGCAGGAAAGACCTGGCTGCGTATTTCTGAAAATGCTCTGGGTCACAGTGGCCCCACTCACACCCCGTCACAGGGACGGCGTGGGAGTGGGCCACGTCTTGTTCCGCTGGGCGCGGGTCGCTGTGAGTCTGGGCTGATTGGACAGCAGCCTCCTGGGGCTGCACAGATCTGCGCGGCTGGGCCCGTCGCAGCGGCCGCTTCTCGCGCCGTCGCCCGCTCTGCACCTGCTCGGCGCTGTGCTGCATGGCCCCTGGGACTGTGCCCACAGCCTGGTTCTTGCCGGGCCCAGGAGCCTTTCTCTGGATGAACAGCGAGGGGTGTGCAGGGCAGGACACAGAAGGCAGGCCTGGCTCAGAGCCCAGGTTTGCAGAGACCCCGAGGGAGCAGCGCCCTCTTGTCCCTGGGTCTGAAGCCACAGCTTGATGGACAGAACTCTCGCTCTTTCTAGATGTCCTGTTACTGATAAAAAAGCGAACCCCAGCTCCGCTTCCCAAGATGGCTGATGTCTCTGCAGAGGAGCAGGTAGGTCCCGCGTGGCGGTCGTGGCTTTTTCTCGGTAAGTCTCCTCCTGGTGAGGCGTCTGCTGTTAAAGGGAACGCTGTGCCCACTTGTTCCTGCCCCGTTCATTAGCAGCAGAGCTGGCACGGCTGGACCTGGGGGGACGCTGTTCCCGGGTCCTGGTCTCACGGTGGTGCGTGCCCCCACTGGCTCTGGACTCCTGTGGAGAGGAGCCCGAGCCGTCTTGAGCGGCTTGAGCCAGGCTGTGCCTGTCCCTGGTCTGCTGGCATCGAGTCCCTCTCCAGGGAAGCTGTCGGGAACTCAGCAAACCCAGTGCACAGAGTAGAGCCTGAGTGCGGGGGACGGTGAGGGGCTGCGTCACCCTGACCCGTGTCTGACCGCAGGCTCGTCCTCTCAGGCCCAGGGCCACGGCACGTTCTGCCCGGCCATTCCCTCTGTGCTGTGTGTGCGGTGGATCTGTTTGTAATCTGCATCTTTCCCTGGATCTTGGTTCCCTAGTGGGGCAGTGGCTGAGTTCTCCACTGTGACCCAAACGGTCCACAGTTGGGACCCACCAGCCATTCTCTGTGAGGAAATGTGGCAGTTTGCGTCTGTAAAGATGACTGTCCCGGAGACCCTGTGGAGCAGTTCTTCACCGGCACGGAGGTCGCTGAGCGTGGCAGCAGTGTGTTTTCTCAGTTTAGGGCGTCCCGTAGTTGGCTACTTAGTCACTGCTTTGAACGCTCAGTCTTCAGTCAGTGCAGTTCATGAAATCCACGGGCACAGTTTGAGGGGGCTGTATGCATGGTCTGAGGGGGGCTGTGCACATGGTGTGAGGGTGCCGTGCATGCGGCGTGAGGAGGGCCGTGCATGCGGTGTGAGGGTGCCGTGTGCGTGGTGTGATGGTGCTTTGTGCATGGTGTGAGGGGGGCTGTGTGCAGGCCCACTCTGCTCTGAGCCAGACCTCATCTGCGTGTCCGGTGCGAGGAGCACTGTTGTAAACGGACACGGCCTTAATTTCAGGGCACCGCTTTGTCTGTCCCCGGGCAGTTTGTCTCTGCTGCTTTGAGTGTTTCCCGAGACACGGCAGCCCACGTCTTGGGGCTGGGCCCTTGGGCCAGGTTGCCAGTGAGCTAATTTTGGGCCTCGTCTGGGACAAGCGGGGCAGGCATGCCTGTGGGTTTCGGTTGCCTTATCTGGAGCCACACCTGGCGTGGCACAGGCGTGCACGCGGGCACACCGCCCGCCCGATCTCCAGAAGTAGATCTGGGCCTGCCTGCCCAGCCCCGAGTCAGGCGGTTTCTGAGAACTGCTGGGGGCGGGGTGGGCCTGTTGGTGTTCAGACCTAACGGCAGCACAGCACTCTGACGCCAGGGGACGGCCGCCTCTTGGACACTGCTCTTCACACATCTGCAGAGTGAAACGTTTCTGGGGTAGTCGTCAGTGTCCGCTCACACGTGGACTGCGCCTCAGTCTTCAAAACAGCACATGCCTTTAAATTTAGAACTCAGTGCTATGGGTCTCCTGATGAGCACGCTACCCCAGCCCCTGGGTCCCAGCCCTGGAGGCCCGGTGCTCAGTGCACCCGCTCACCCCCATCACGGCCCTGGAGGCCCCGCCCTGG